TTATCAAATGCTTTTTGAAAGTCAAAATACACAACACTCACATTTCTACCTCGATCAAAACATGTAGTCCAGTCACTGAAACAATCAAAAAGTGAATTTTAATTGACCTTCCTTTGCAGAATCCATGCAATGGACTAGGAATGATGTCATATTTTTTCCAGGTGAGAAAGTAAGTATTTCTTAAGAAGCTTTCCAAATACCCCGGCAAATAATGAGGTCAGACTTATGACTCTGTAACTACCAGGGTTTGAACTTGGCTCTTTCTTAAGGAGAGGAATAACTATGGCATGCTTCCACCTACAAGGAATTTCAGATCTCATTAGACTCAGATTAAAAAGGAACTCGAGGGGACCAGTGATTTCATGGATACAATGCATCACAACCAGATAGGGGAGATCATCTAGGTTCGTAGCGACAGAAGATGACCAATCGAGCAACAAGCCGGCTATATCCTTTTTATAAAACCAAGAGGCCTGATCAGAGGACACAAAATCCGAATTCGTTAGAGTTAAGGATGTAGCGTAAGGAGAAACAAATGTCTTCACAATGCTTCAGCTAATAATTCAGATTTTCTTTGATTAGTTATCGCCCATCTAGAATTATCGGATAAAGTAGCAACACAAAGTTGGCTAGAGGGTCTTAAATTGAGAATTGAATGAAAAGCTTTACCAACACCTCTAGATAATAGTTTCTTCTCAACATAAGTATAATACTTATTCAATTTATTTGTGAACCTTCTATCGAATGCCTGACACTTTTGGCAATCCACTGATGACTGAGAATCTCTAGCTGAATTCCAGAGACGATCCCTCCTTTAGACATAGAAGAAAGGTATCGAGGAAGTCTAGACAACTGCAGAGAGTGTCTTTCATAAGGAATGTAAAGATCCATGGCATGATGCAAGACTGCTTGAAATATCTCATACCTGGCATCAACACCATTCACCGTGTCAGAAGAACCAAACCAATCAACATCACTTATTGGTTAGGTATTTACGGAAAGCACTAAAATCAGCGCGGGTATAGTCCCGGCACCATCTTACAGTCGGGAACCGTTTTGATAAGGATAGGGAAAACTTTATTACGGCATTATCACCGCCACCAATTGGAGGCTGCTTACAGGTTGAAGCAACTAGATCCTGGCCATTGCATAACATCAAATCGAGGTGAGCTATACTCCTAATGGGAAAATGGACGCACTGGACGAAGCCGTGAGTGGCAAAAGTAATCAACGAATTTAGTTCCTAAAGCATCATTACTCTTATTTACAGGTCTCCATGTGATTTGCGATAGGTTTAAATCTCCAGTGAAAACACAAGCTTTGTGCTGCGAGCTCAAATCACTAAGTGCTTCAAGAAGTTGGTCGCAGTATACAGTGGAACAGCTAGGAGCTTTGCATACAGCAATTACCTACTCGGATTTCATCACCGTAAAAAAATATATCGCAAGCCAAAATTTGGTGAGTACTTTTTACAGATTCACAGAGAACAACCTCTGTCGAATATTGAGGTCTGACTAATATGGCAACCCCCCCTCATTTTTTGAAAAAAACATGGGTGAACAACATTTGTTTTTTTTGTTTTTTTGTAGGAAATGTTGAAACGAGGAACGTACCCGGAAAAGGACTCACCAAACGCCCGCAAAAACGGAACGGTCGGTGGATGTCTGCGAGGCTCCACCGATCCTCAAAATCTGAGGAATCGAGAGTACCAATGTAGATATGTGGGCTAACATATCTCCTAAGCATAAGGGGAGCTGCAGGTTTGGAGAAACCCTCTGACCAAGGAAGCCAGAAAAGTATTACCATATTTTTTCGGCACGCTCTGTAACTCATAAAATTTTAGTTTTAAATTTAAAATTCTTTCAATTAAAATTCACTGTCGTGAAAATCCTTTTCGGATTGTATGTGACTATTTGCATAACTACTCACTTTACCATACTTGATCAATAAAGTATCTTTTGTTAAAAGACATTTGAAAGCGATTGTGGGAGTTCATCTTGCCTGGAAGTTCCTTTTTGTCTTATAACCTCCTTTGATGTATTAGTCACTGCTATCTCTCGGTAACTATGTCTCTTACAATTCAATCAATCCTTCTTGAAATAGGAGTACTGGAAGGGCAAGCACCATCATAATACATATAATCCGCTAGGTGTGTCTGTTGATGTGCCCATGTGTGTATGTATGTGTATGTGTATGACCGGAAATTCATAACTGCTCTCCAAGTACCTAGGGGGTTCAAATTCTACCCCCACAGCGGGTCAGTGGGTGGCGTTTGAGTGAATTTAATAGCTCCTCTTCCCTTGGACTTTTACCGCTCAAATCTGGTGGATGTGCAGGTGGCAGGATAGTAACACTGATGGGGTGCGGAGTTTGTGCGAAAAATTAAAAAATTAAAACTTGGGCCTGGAGCGCTCGTATTCGATAGAAATACAGGCGGCAGGATGGGAGCACCTATGTCGGGCGACAGGACTTAACTCCGCTCACATGAGGCGTGGCGTGGGCAAAAACAAATGTTAAACTAGACCTAAAGCGAAATTGCGAAACCAAGGTTGTATAAGTCGGAAATTAATCGAGTTACTCAAACACGAAGAACCTAAGGAGGTTTGTTCATGGCGGGCGGGCGCGCACAAATTGTGTTGGGTGTTTATGTTTGGCCAGGAATGAATAACTCTTGTTCTCATCTACCGAAGCCGGGCAAGCCAAATGGTGAATCATAACTAGGTATTCTACAATAACTTTACCAAGACTGTGAGTGAAAGTTGGACATTTTGCGCACTTAGAACAGCATATGGTATGGTATGGCCCTGTCCTTAGCTATATCATTAGATCATTAGAAAATAGTTTCACGTGGTAGACGAGAGGAGGCAAATATTTTCCCAGCTTTTCCAGACTGAATGTTGTGCGTCATTGGCCATCATTATGTAGCTCATATAAAAAGGAAGAGGCTTCGGCTTATATGCTCACATTTTAGAGTTCTTCACGACTCGTAAACCGCTCTTGCACTACCCTTTTATTTCATTAGAACTCCACAACATCGAGAGTCTCCTTGCGCAAATTATAGCTTCCAGTACAGTCAAACCTCGCATCGGTATGAGGGGAA